GTAATAATTCTATCGCAATGCATTGTAAACTCTAGAATATTCCATGATATCATGTGGTTTACCGTTTTGATAATTTTCAATTCATAACTGTTGTAAGCATGTTTGAGCAATAAAAATAAATATATATAAAAGAAAAAGTGTAAATAAATAAAATAAAAATAAAAAACAAAAACCTAAGTATGTTAGGACTTTTTCTTATTGTAATATACAATTTGTTATCATTACTAAACTATGTTTTTTTTTTAATGTGATTTTATGTGTGATTTAGATTATATAACAGCATATTGTTAAAAGAATACTATATAAAACTATATTACTTATATAAAGGGCCGTACCAACAGGTGTGTGTGTGTGTGTGTGTGTGTGGAGGGTAAATACCCTCCCCCCCAGATTTACAAAATTCTACCGGTTTTTGTTGGAAAATTGAGAGATTTGGGACTCTGTTGATTAGAACTGAAATTTGGCTTTTTAAAAAAAAAAAAAAAAAAACCTTGTGTGTAGAGTTAACTTTTTTTCTTTTCACCCGCCCCCTCAAGTCTTTGTTGTTTGAGCAATTTTGTAATTAATATATTAGAGAATTGTTGTTCTAAATAAACTTTCCATAAAATTTGTAGATCAAAATATTAGTACACAATATTAGTAAACTTCCGCAACCGCAAATAAATTGTATAGTAATGCGTCACTAAAAATAAGTATAGGTAAACAAACAAACACACTTTTTAATTGAGGTGTATTATATTTTCTGCATTAATTTAAATTTTTTAAACTAAAAAGATAGGTTCTAAGAAAAAATCCTCCTGGAATAAACCCCGCCGGAAAAAATCCCCCCAACAAAAAATGCTTTTGGTTTCAAATTAAAAATATATATATCAGAGCTTTTTGTTTTTTAAGTATTTATCTAGCCAAATAAGTTGCAAAATTAACAAGATAGAATCAGGAATTGCAACTTTCATATTTTGCATATTATAGTTATATGATTTAATTAAGGTACATAAAGTTAGTTTTTTAATGATGAACTACCGGAGTACATTCTTACACGTTAAATTAAGTTACTTTAAAATCCCGTTCTTAAATAAATTAAATGATCTTTAAAAAGTTTAAAATTGTTAGTAAATTGTTAGGAGTCTGTTTTTATGTATTTAAAATATCAACTACTGTAACATTATTAATAACTCTGCAGGGCAAACCCTGAGGAGAATAAATTTAAATACAATATTGCGATTTAGTATGTTAGTATATTTAGTATTTTTATTTTTCTTATAATCCTTATGATTATTTTGTTATTTTTTTTGTGTTTTTTTTTTGGTTACATATAGGGCAAACTGAGAGGATATAATAATTCAACAGATGATAGAATGAAGAAACAAATATGACTTCTTTATGCAATCGACGTGTGGCGTGTGCTCTTATTTAGTGTGTTTTTAGTGGAATAAACATTAAAACCAATTATGAAATGCACCAACAGCATCATATAAAGGAGAGTGGTAAATATATGGCTAACATGTGCTTCCCACACGTGGGCCACATGAAACTTTCACGCACAAATGAAGTGTGACGTTTATTCTTATTTAGTATGGTTTTAGTGGGATAAAGATTATAGCCACATATGGCACGCATCAATGCCATCCATAAAGGAGAGTGGTAAGCGTATGGTTAGCATGCAAATGCTATGGCCCAAATTAAAATTTCTTGTCTGGTAATTCAACTTTTTTTATTGTTTTTTTTTTGTTATTAGAAGGGCTAATAAAAGTAAACATTTTATATAGGCAAATTGATTCTGATTTGAGTAAGCTTACTATTCAGTGTTATTTTAAGTAGGGATTTTTTTTATGTATTCAACATGAAAAGTTAAATGTTAACTGTTATTTGTTGACATGTAAGCTTATACTTATAAATTTGCGTATATTTTAGTATATTTTATACTTCTCTTTATCTAAATGTATATTTCCTTATGGAAAAAATAATAACCAATAGACAAAGTAAAAAAAGTTCAGCTAGAAGTTATCAAAAGAATGTTGTGTTATGCTTCTTTTTTAGGTATCTCAATATATATTTATTAGAAATTTTTAAATTTGTTCTTAATTAATAATTTTTTATTAGTATAGATAAAAGTTTACAAACTGACATTGCTTCATTTTTATTAAAAATGTTGTGCATTGTAGTCTGCATTTTTTATTACATTAAAAGTAATTGATACTAAAAAATGTTGCAGATAAGTTTAAATTCATTTCATATACAGTTTGTTATTTTTTTATTTTTTTTTGTCATACTCTTTTGTAAATTATATATATACTTATATATCTATATATAATAAAATTATTTTAATTTTTATTTATTAATTTTTGAACTTAATGATACACCATTGTTTAAACTAATGAGAAAAATTGTGGAGGTTTGTATATCATATGTATTCTAATGTAACTGCATTTGATTTTTTTTAATATATTGCTTTACATAAGGCATTTCGATTTTTTATTTTTGCTTTTTTAAATGATTTTTT